TCATGTGTCTTTAATGAGTATCTAGCTTGTTCCTATATCTTTCTGGTTATGATTAATGCTGCAGGGAACATGGAGTTGTGCATGGTTCTCCACACCTTTTATTTCCTCTCCTTAGAACATAAGCCCAGAAGTGAATCATAGGGGCATTCTATTTTTTAATTTTTTAAAGACACCTTCATACTATTTTCCGTAATGACTCTACCAGTTTATACTCCCACCAACCATATACACTTTATTTCACATTCTCACCCAGATGTCGCATTTCTTGTCTGTTTAGTAGCAGCCTTTCTGAGATATGTGAGCTAGCAGATAGATTTAGTGTTGACTTAAATTTCCTTGTTAATTAATAGTATACATTTTAAATACATACATACATACATACATACATACATACATGTACACATGAGTATACACATACCTATATACCTATTGGTCATTTGTGTTTTCTTTGAAGAAACACCTACTCAGGTACCTTGTACACTGTAAACATGAGGGTTCTTTTGCTGTTGAATTGTATGAGTACCCCACATGTTTCAAATATTAGCCTCTTACCAGATTTCCAAGTATTCTGCACAGTTGTCAAGGTGTTTTTATTTTAATTTGCTATGCAGTGAAGATGCTTTTAAGTTTGAGGTAGACCCACTTATTTATTTTTGCTTTTGTTGCCTGTGGTTTTGCTGTTTTAATTTAATGATATTTTGCCAAGGTTGGTGTCAAAGAGTCTGCCCTGCACTGCCTTGTGTTTTTTACAAGATATTAAAAAAGATAATGAAAAGAAGTTAATGCTTGCAGGGGTCTGGGCACAGTGAAGAGTGGCAACATTTTATCACACCAGAGTATGGCCACATGCCACACTCATCTTGGATTATCTGTCTACTTTTTATGGCAACAGGATGAGCAAGCCTGCATTGCACCCATTTCACAGATGAAGACATAGCCAGCATGCACACATTAAGAAAACGGGGCTGGCAAGATGGATCAGTAGGTAAAGCTCATTGGTACCAAGCTGGGGCACCTGAGTGCCATATCCAGTTCCTACATAGTGGACAGGAAGAACTGACTTTAGCAAGTTGTCCTCTGATCTCCACTTGTGCCCTATGGCACACACACACACACACACACACACACACACACACACACACACACGTGCTCAGGTCTCCCAGTAATTACGGTAAAATCGTTAAATAATGTGAAAGCACAGTTTTCAGAGAGAGTTTCCTTGTGTCTCTCTTCCTACCCTCATCTGTTTTTTGGTTGCCCACTATCCTCTCGTTCTCCCTTCTCGCTGTATTACTTTCTCACTTGAGCTCTGGGCAGCAGCAAGGAAAAAAAAAAAAGCAGAGCAGTGCATGAGCCTTCTTTGTTCTGTGGATGTTCACTGTCTTAGTCGATTCCTTTGAGGTTTTATTGACCTAAATTTCTTTTTTTATTTGGTGCAACTTCAAATTTGCAAAAGTGTTGTCTAACATAGCAATAAACACTACAAATACTTATTCGGATTGTATGCTCATTTCTGTTTTATTTGCTGTATCAACTTTTCTGTTTGTCTTGTGTCTGCCTCTCCTGTACCAAACACAAAGGAATGCTCTCAGTGGTCCCGGTCAAACTGATCACTGTAGCAACACCTTCTTGCTTCAAGTCTTCTCCACACACACACACAAACAGAATGACATTTCCCTGTTCTGGTTATAATGTCTCTTATTGCCTGTTCACAGCACAGTCCCCTTAGCTATAAATCTTCATGGTCTTCAAGAGTGATAAATTGCTTCCTATGTAATTACTGTGGAACCCCAGACAGGTGTGTACCATGTGGTCTAAAACCTGAGTTCACCTGGGTTTTAGAAACAGCAATTTAAATATCCGAAAGAGTGAATTTCATGTATTTAAAACACCTCTTGTGAGGGCTAGCAGCAAAATCTCACAGTCAAATAACAACATGCCTGGTGCACAATGCAGGCGCTTCAGCATCAGTCTTCAGATTTAGAAGTTCTTGCATTTTAGAACTGCATACATAGAGTACACGACTGTTCGTTTTAATATGGTTGGGGATAGGTGTTAGATAAAAACCCTTAGAGATAGTAGGTGTTAAAATTGAATGGAAGGCTTAGTAAATAGAACACTTTTGTTTTATTTATTACTGAAATATGATAACAATTTTAACGTCATTTAAAATAGCAGGAAGTCAAGCGCTAAATATCCTCCCACCCACCAAGAAAGAATTCATGTCATAAAGATGATAAGGGGAGATGAGTGCTTTCTCTTGACAAGAAAGGCTTTTGGGAAATCATGGGAAACCAAGGGTTCAGCTATAGGGAATGTGGTCTCCTCCCAAGTTTGCAGGGTTCATCATGACTTTGGGGGCAATATGTTGCTGATAGCATTCTGTGTTGAAGAACGGACAAGGTCAAAGCCTTTGCCCTTATTCACACAATAGCGAATGACATACTAAATCTGTAATAGCACAGCGGCTCTTAATGTTATCCACCACCTTAATGTACTATACGTTTCTAATGTTTGCTAAGAATACCTTCCAGTTAGCAAGCTGTGAAGAGCCTCTAAAGCTTCACTGTTGTTTCATTTTCCAGAACGTTCCATTCAGCACGAAGTCAGGGATGCTCACAGACTCCTGGAATGGCTTCATCAGTGTGACCCATTTGACCCATCTACTTGAATTTACATCTTCAAAACTAAACATTGCGACTGAACAAATACTTGAGGTTAAATACAACGTAAGGAATAATGACAAACTGGAATTGATATATGAGATGTACTTATCCAAAATAGTTACATGGTATGATTTGTTACTGCATATGGTTCATTCTCAATATCCATATATTGGAGTTGATTCATATTATGGCTGTTTTAAGGACTCAAAAAAGTAAGTTTAAACTAATTTCTACGATCATAAACCAAATCATAGTGTACCAGTCAGGGATGTGGGCTTTACAAGTTCCAGTCTTACCAATGAATCACACATGACATGGCCGGTGGTGGCACAGTATGTCTCTTGTTGTGGTAAGAGACCAGGAATGGCAGGTTGACCAGGGAACAGCCTCTGATTAAGAAGCCCCTTCTCATTGGGGTGGATGTGTCTGGTCGATGCTGCCCATGAAGCCAAGCTCAGGCTTAGAGCTGTGCACAGCAGTTCCGTCACAGCACCAGATGTGTGGAGAGAGGCAAACTGAGCTGATAACTTACTATAGCAAAGAAAAGCACACTAAGACCCTCTGAAAAACATGTCACAGCTAGGGCCTGGGAGATGGTAAAATACTCGCCTCGTAAACAATAGGACCTGAGTTCAAGTCCCAAAACCCATGCCAAAAAAGAAAGAAAGAAAGGAAGGAAGGAAGGAAGGAAGGAAGAAAGAAAGAAAGAAAGAAAGAAAGAAAGAAAGAAACTAGGCAGACCTTTACTGTTCTTAAAAGGCAATGAAACAAAAACAAGTGGATTCATGGGGCTTACTTGTCAGCCAGCCTAGCCTACTTGGTGAGCCAAAAGGGGCTGTTACAAACAGAAACAAACAAACAAACAAACAAAAGGTAACTGTGTCCAAGGAAGCAACTCAGGCTGTCTCTGATCTGCACACACACAGCATGCACACACTTGAATAGGAGCACACACAAATGTGATGACGCTGCAGGTGCCCACCTGTCCCCGTCTGGCCAGGCTAAAGTGAATCATTAACAGAAAGTACTGCCACATCGGCTAAAAACGGAGAAGGCTTTGAAGTCTGTGAGCAACACCTTGTCAGGCTACAGGAGCCAGAACAGGCTCCTTGAAGGAGAGCTGCTGGGTAGCTGTGCCAGCCAGGAGAGAAATATTCCCAGCAGAGGGCAGGTAGGGCATTCCAGCACATGCGGAGAGGACAGCACGATCCAGGAACTGCACCAGGGAGGAAAGGCAGGGAGTTGGTCTATCATAGCAGAAAACCGGCGGGAGTAGCTTCAAAGTGCCGCTTCCCGGCTCAGACCTAAAATTATATTTAAATGCCCTGCCTCTGTGCCATCCAAAAGAGCTCGGCAAAAGCGGCTCGCACTTCAAGCCTGTAAATCTGAAACTTCCTAATCCCCGCAAGTGCATACTAGACTTCTTGCCTCCATGGAAACAACAAAGCATGCAGCCAACTGATTGGCCTCCAATGAATTTTAGATAAGACAGCTTGGAAGGGAATGGATGTGATTTTAATGCAGAAGAAAGCGCTGGAAGGGACGTCCACTTGGTTCATATTTGAATAAAGCAAACAAGGCAGACGAAAGGCTGACAGCTGTAAATGACATTGTCAGTACAAAAATTATCAGCCAGTTTACAATCTGTTTGCTTATGTTGAACAAACAGACTGTGTGTGGCATCCTCCGGCCCCTTGAATGGCAGAAATACTTGCAGGCTTCAGAGAAGCTATCTGTTCCCCTGCAGCCAGTCGTCACATTAGATAGCCATTTGACAGGCTCGATGAAAAGGAAACTGTGTCCTCTGCCTCTACCCCCCCACCCCCTCGCCGCTCTGCTTTCTCTTTCCCTTTCTTTCTTTTTCTCCCTTGTCTTTTTTTTTTTTTTCTCAAAGACAAGCACTGAAGATGGGGAGAGACACTCCTCTTGTTGTGTCAATGGCGTGAATTATGTTAGCTCTGTTGCCGGATCGAGTCGTTTACTGATGTGTCTGACATTCCAAGTGGGAGATCTTCAGTAACCTAGCAAGGCTCAGGGCCAAGTCTTCATTTTTATTCCTTCCAGGAAACAGAACCCTGGAGCATCTGAAAGAATGCCACTTTCTTTCCCCACCCAACCCCCGTCTTTGTGAAGCCTGTCTCTGAGACCCCTTGCTTTGAACTTGCTAACATCGCTTATGGGTGCAGAAACAAAACCCAGCGCAAGATGGGCAGTGGAGACAGCGAGCAGCCCCCCTTCTCCCCAAGCAAGGCCCCAGCAGCCCAAGTTGCAGGGATAAAAAAATCTAACAGGCTCTGGGAGGCGGGTGCAGTACTAAACAGTTTCCGGGGATGGGGGTGCTGTACTGGAGTCTGGCACCCAGCCCCAACCAACGGGAATGAATTGTGTGGTCCCGTTGTTTAATCCCGTGTTCTGCAGATTCACGACGGAGAAAGAGTTCCCTTTGTTCTGAAAGGAAGAAGAACAAACACAGGTACTAACTTTACCCCTCAGTTCTCAGAGGCTCCCTCTTGGTTAGCTGCTTCAGAGGGATTGAAGCTCTTGCTATTTATTGGCTTTTCAAGGGGCTGCAGGCTATTTAGATACTGTTGGCTTCCTATGTAAGAGTTTCCATCTCACCCCAGAGTTAGTGAGTGACACACTTTCTCCCGCAGGGAGCCTTCCCTCAGTTATGAAGAAAGACAATCATCCATCCACAGAACTAGGGTTCCGCTTTTCCTCTGGAATCCTATTGTTTCCTAGGTCTCTTTCTGGTTGGAAGGAGCCAAGTCTTTCAGGCTGCTCTTTATTTCCTCTTTTCAACACCAAGAATCTGCTAGTGAGCCTTGATTTATTTGACCAGAAAACTAAAATTTTTAAAATTGGGCTGGTGGGTGAATGTGGCGTGTTTGTGGGAGATAAGGGGGCGCAAGGGGAGGCACGCAAAGCCAAAGGCCCTGGTAATTACTGCTAAGCAGCGAAGCATCAAAACACCTCTCCAATTACCGGCAACCTGGAGAGGAGAGTTATGTTGCATCGAGCTTTCATTTTAATCTAAATTGCTGTTTTTTTCCCCCTCTGATATGGCCATCGGTCAGAAAGAGTTGACCATCATTAAAACTGTTTGATTTGGATCCCTGTGGTGTTTGGTTAAGAGGGGAAATGCAAATTTGATGAAAGAATAAGGATGAATTTACATATCAGCCCCAGCTCACAGGGAGAGAGTAAACATTCTGTTTATCTCAAGTGTCGCTCCATGATTTCTGCAGCATATGAAACTGACCTTGGCCCAGTCATTGCAAAAGGCCTAAATGAAATATATGGTTGTCCAAATACGGCTTACTCAAGTAGAACTTGTCGGCAAACAGGGCTGGGGGCAGCGCTCTGAGAGCGTTGCCTTCTGATAAACTCCAAAATGAAACTCTGAAGCAAAGGTATTGTGAAGAAGAGAGGGGGAAAGTCCTCCATCGTGGATTCCACGGAACCACTGTGAATTAAATCAAACTATTCAGCCAGTAATGTCAGGCTACGGCTCTCTAAAAGTGAGAGAGAGAAACACACACACACACACACACACACACACACACACACACACAGAGAGAGAGAGAGAGAGAGAGAGAGAGAGAGAGAGAGAGTAGAAATGTCTTAAAAGCCGGTATTCTCACATTATGTTCAATATGCTTTCACCAAACCTTTGCAAGCAAAGCATCCGAAGAGAAGACTAAGAAGATCATTTGTTTGATTTCTAAATCTAATTGATTCGAGGGACGCCAACACTGCCGAGATAGTGCAAACGGCATCAGGATAATTCCCTTTGCCTGTTTAAATCAACCACATTTGTATTTTTCCACATCTTTAATTAGTTTTTTTTCTTCCTGAAGCTAAGTCAATATTCGTCACGATGGTGACGGGGTACCATGTGCTACAGATGGAGGCTTCTGAGTGTGCAGAAAAACCCTTGAGGCACTCGCTCTCATGTTTTGGGATCTGGCTTGCCTTTCTTACACTCGATGTGGAGAAGGAAGATGGGAGTTGAGAAGGAAGCATGATGTCATAAAAAGAAGAGAGGCGATGGGGCGTATGTCTACAAGGGTGCTTCAACTTGAGCACAACATACCATAAATGAAATGAAAGAAAGACAGAGGCCATCTGGCGGATGATAGCTTCAACTCCATGATATTCTTGTGGGGGTGATATTTGTTTGTTTTCGTCTGTTGCCTCCAGAGTAACTACTTTTCAAATACATAGTTCCCATGTCTTTAGTAGAAGACCTCTGAAGGAACATCACTTCTGAGGACAGTGTGTCTGTCGCTGGAGGAAAACTCAACAAGCTCACTCACTCTTCCAGTCCAGGCTGTGCTTCTGGTTCTCAGGCAGATGGATGGGTACGCTAAAACAGAAGGCTCTTCACCATTAACAGAACTGGGACCAGGGTTTCCAAATGCTGTCTGAAAAGAAATGGATATTCTGACTACAATAAAAAAAGAACTTTATAGACACAAATTAATAAGCAACAAAAACAACAACATAAACAGAGCATGCTCGTGTGGAGGGGAGAAGTGGAGAGAAGGGAGCTGAAATCCATTCCTGTGGTGCCCCAGGTTCTTGCACAGGTAGATGGACAGTTTTGTGCCCTGTTTTGTTTCTGACAGGGATGTCAGAAAATACAGGCTTACAGCTGAGGACAGGGCTCTGCTCTCCCCACCCTAATGCCTCTGATGTTCCAAGTAGGAGCTACAGACCTCTTAGCAAAATCCCCCAGAGCACAAACCATGATTCGATGAATGGCAAGAGCTAAGAAGCAAAGGAAGGAGTCATCGCTAAAGGGCAGGGACCCAAGTGTGCAGATGAGGGCAGCAGAGTAGGACATGGCAATGGGCACCTGCTTCAGCCCTGCACATCGTTCACTGACAGAAACTGCCTTCTGCTTGCCGAGCCTCACTAGGATAACACTGCAGGTGCTTAGCTACAAAGGGAAGATCAGTCTGCATGGCCATTAGCCGATAGGTGGACAAAGAGATGGAGCATAGCCGCACAACAGAATATGGCTCAGCAATAAAAGGGAGTGGAACACTGAATCAGATGACAACATGGGGGGTGTCTTTTGGAATTACGAGTGCAGAGTCATGATGCCAGTCATGAAGGAAGGCCACATATTCCTCTCACTTGAAGCATTCAGAAGTAGCAAATCAAGAGACATCAGGGTCCATCAGATGGAGTCTCAGAACCTCACTAGGAATGAAGTAGAAGAAAAAAAGGATGTCTTGTTTACAATATGCAGTGGTCAAACTGAGTGAAGCCATCCTTCCACACAGACTGAAGGAGAACCTGGGCAGGCGGAAAGAAAAAGAGTGTTCTGTAGAAGACACTCCCCACCAGGGGCCAACTCTTGTCTGTTTAGACAAACTAGGAATTTCAATGTGTCTAGTGCTGCTTGGTGGGCTTTATGTAAATGAGGATATAATCACACCTATTTCCCATTGGTTGGTGTTTTGTCTGTAGGTTATGGCTCATTGGGCAGACTGGGTGCAGAAGGGGACACCCAGTCACTGTTTATCTTGGCAATGAAACAGAAGTACAACCTACAGTGCAGCAGAGTTCAATTTTGCTTCCTCAAGGAGCATACAGTCTGTGACTTCAGCAATATCAAAGGACCACCAGGTTCCATTCTGATCTAAGCTCAGTGAGCATCTCAGGGTTCACATGAGTAGGAACTGTGAGTGCTGAGTGATGGCTGAGTCACGCAGGGTTTCCACTGGGGAGTGTCCAGAATGTTTTACAATGTGAGTATGGTGAGTGTTGCAAAAGGCTGGGGGTACAGTCAGTGCACTGAACTGCATGTTTAAAATGAGTACATTCTGTGGTGTGTGGAATGTAATTCAAGGAAGCTGTTCAAGGGAGGAGGGCAGGGAGCACAAACTGACAGGGCTGTTGTTACACAGCCAGAGAGAGTTCTGTGCAAGACAAATGAAGTTATGGGCTCGTCAGCGTAACACATCGGAGGCTGTTCTTCTTGTTGCTACCAGAATCCAAACCCCACTGAAGTCTGGCGAATGTGGATGGCTACAGTTGTGCCAGCCACAGTGGGCTGCAAGGGAAATAAATTCACTGTGGAATTCCTAGCCTAGAAGGACAGAGACAAGCATATGTGCGAACCACAAATTGGAATAACAGTACATTTTGTTAAAAACTTCGAAGTGCAAGGAATGTCCAGACACCTCCAGGTACCCCCACTGCAGAGCAGAGACCTCACATGTCAACACTTCTTGGTTTTTATTCAGTCAGAATCAGGAAGTCTGTGAAAGGTTTTCAAAAAGAAGGTGATAAAGTCCTTCACTGATCCCTGTGCTGGGCTCTGTTGCATTCCAACACAAAGCTGCAAATTCAGGCCCAGGGGATGGTGACTTAGTAAAGATCCAGAGCCAGTAGAAACACCTTCCTCTGTGGGCTCTTTGCAAGTTCAAAGTTTCCTATAATTCTTCAAGCATCCAGAAAGATTCTTGATTGTATAAATAATGTGGAATCTCTCAAACGCTCGCAGTGGGTTCAGCACCTGCGGATCACTGCAGAAGTACAATATTCAGGGCAACTCACATCGTTGTTAGCCCAAAAGGAGCCAGGGAAGACAGGAATGGTAAGGACTAGGGAGGTGATGCAAATTTAACCTCTTACAGGGATGGGAGAGATGAAAACACCAGCCTCAGAAGGAGCCAGGGCTCAGCCACAGAGAGCCCTGGATGCAGAGACATTGCTTCACTAATGCTCACAATTCTAGAGACTCATCTAAAAAAAAAATCACAATAGTATCCCCACTTTACAGAGAATAGAAGTAAAGAATTTGTTTTGAAAAAGATCAATTAATAAATGTTCAAGAGTAAATTCAAATACAACTCTATGTATTATACCTTGAATCTCTATACTATTCAGTTTTCTTGCTCCAAATAGTTCTATAGTGTTTAAAGTATATCAATAAATAGAAGCTTCAAGAAGGTAGGAAACTCATGCTTTGAGGCAACATAACCTTCTTACTTCTTAGAGATGTTGCTGTAAGAAAATCATGTATTGGAACTATGGACATCTGACAGCTGAATTTTATTCAGCTAGTTAGTGTGGTATGGAATTCTATGAACCAAACCAGAAGTCTAGAAGCCTAGTTAGTGTGGTATGGAATTCTATGAACCAAACCAGAAGTCTAGATATACCTATGCATATCTGTGTCACTGCGCAAGTCCAGGGCTAGAAGCTACTTTATAGTCACCGGCCTTAAAACTCTGAATACTGACAGTGACAGTTTCTTTGATGGTCTTAGTGAAGGGTTTTAAGGAGGAACAGTTACTACTTGTATGTCCTAAGTTTCTCTTTGGATCTTTAAAGGCACTGAATGTGCCCAGTGATCCTTCTAAGGACCATCACAGAGATGGAGTGGGGGTGGGTATCTTGATGCCAGAGATGGAAAGATGAGCTGTGGTTATGAGGACCCCTTCCTTGCTGGGAAGTAAGGGTGGAAGCTAGGAATTGGGATGAGATGGAGTGGGGCTGAGAAAGAGGAGCTCTTTCAGAATTGTTATCAGTTCAGGGGACAGGCGAACTTAAAGTCCACACTTAAGAATCATAAATATAAGAAGACAGATAAAGCTAAAAGAATTGGAAAGTTGACAAGAGGAATATCAAGGGGCAAGAGAAGTCAGGCATTGAAGACCAGTGTGAGCAGTATTGCAGATGTAAGCAGCTGTCGAATAGACAAGGGAGACTCTGCAGGCAGTGGGTGATCTCCCATGCCTGTGTGAGGCACGGGGAAGCTGATGGACTTCATGCCACTAGATTCTTGATGGTCTTTAGAAGCCACATTCAGTAGAATGTTGAGAGGAAAATGGTCAGATTGTGGGAGAAGGGAATGCGTAGATTCAGACCTATTGGTTGAGGAAGAGCAGCAGTTGAAGGCAGAAATAATAGAGGATGATGGCTTTGAAAGGGATTCCATGCAGCTATGGGATGAAGGAGGTCAAAGGATGTTTCAGTGGGCAAAGATGATTGGGATGGCACATAGGTACCAATGATAAATCTGTTGTAAAAAGGGAACCATACCTTACACATCTAATCATATCTAATGAGATCTGATTTATCATGTTCCATAATTCCCAATGCAGGTAGTTAATATAATAAATCCCTTAGAAGTGAACATCTTACTTTTAGCTTTGATGTTTGAAAGGGTGAATTTCCTCTTGCAAAGCTGAGGAGTTTTTGCAAGATGCAAAGACACTCATAAAAGGAAGGAGGAGGGAATGGGGAGGTAGCTCAGACAGTAATGTGTTTACACACACATGAGAACCCAAGTTTGATTCCTAGAACTTGCACAAACACAAGTGTCAAGGGAGAGATGCCTCAGCAGTTAAGAGCAGTCTATATTCTTGTAAAAGACTGGGGTTCAGTTCCCAGCAACCATATGGCAGCCCACAACCATCTGCAACTCTAGTTCTTGGTGACCCTACTCCCTCTTTCGACTTCTCTGGTCATCCATATCCACATGTATACACACACACACAAACAAAACATAAAATTAAAAATAATAATAAAAAATGACAGACATGATGGTGTACTTGGTAATCCCAGTGCCGGGAGAAAACAAAGGGCCCCTGGGTCTTGTTGGCCAGTCAGTGTAGCTTAGTTTGTCAATCCCAGGTCAATAAAAGAGTCAAAGGAGGTTGGTGGTATTCTCAGGTTGTTACCCAAGGTTGTCCTCTGCCATCAAGTACACACACTCGCACATGCACATACATGTGTGCATACACATGCACACTCAAGGGAGGAAAGCACACAAGCAGCTCATAAGGTGTCAACAGGACTCACTTGTCCAGCTCATGCTGCTGCCCTACATGGCCCTGACACCTGAAAGAGTTTTGATTTTGAGTCCCAGTGTGGTTTGGAGACCCAGAGGCCAAATCCCATCCTAGAACCACACCCTTTACCTCAAACTCTTGCTCCTGCTGTCTCTGAAGCATCCAGGAAGTGGTGGCTGAAATCACAGGCCATGCATCAAAGCGCTTTAATTAGCCTGGGACAATTGCTGGGGCGTGGGGGAGGCAGCTGAAACTATTGGGCTATTATTAGTTCTTAAGAGAAGAAGTTCTGAGAAACAAAAAAAGCATAGCATACTGTCACTGACGGAAGAAAAGCAAGGCCACAGGGTGACATTTTAAAGAGAGCATGGCATGTTACACTGTCCCACTGCCCCCGATTTCAGAACCCTTCACGTTTATTAAAGTGAACAACGGAGAGATGAAGAATGCACTTTCGTTGTGGTAGTTATAATTTTAAGCACTTAGAAGTAACCATTGCTATGTCTCTTTAAATATGCACCCAAACTAACTGTATTTACGTGGGTAAATATATAAACAGGCCTCCATTTTGGAAGAACTTCTTTTAAAGACTGCATTGCCTGTTGTTTCCATGGTAAAAACGTATTTTTCGGCTACATGGCCTGTGCTTTCTTCACATTATGTTAATCTCACGCACTCATGTCACAATTTAAACTTTTTTTTTTACTATTGGACAGCAAAATGATTTCTCTCCATTTTCTTTCTCTTTCTCTCCCTTTCTATCCCTTTTTCTTTCTTCCTTTCTTTTGGCAAAAGATACAATGCTGCAGTGAATACCTTTCCCTTGATGCCTTGTTTTTTTGTTTTTATCTTTAGGATAATCTGATATTCTTGCATTACAGATGTCCTGCTTAATGGAGAAATTTATAAGTTTTATGTTAGACCTTTTGTTTATTTATTCATTTATTTGGGGTGTGTGGGGGTTTTGACGTGTCATGATGCACACGTGGAAGTCAGAGGACAGCTCGCAGGAGTCAGTTCTCCCCTACCATGTGAGTATCGGAGATCAAATTCAGCTCAAAAGCCATGCTCATGTGGGCTTTACTAAGTAAGTCATCTTGCTTACCCTTAGTTTTCTTCCTCCCTCCTCCCTTCCTTTTTTCCTTTTTTTTTTTTTTTTTTTTTTTTTTTTTTTTTTTTTTTTTTTACTTTTTGAGATAGGCTCTCCCTAGGTAGTCCAGACCCCTGACTCAGCCTACCAAGGGTGTGAGATTTCAGTCACTATTGCTAGCTAAATGTGTTTTGATTTATTTTCTTGTGTTGTTTTGCAGAGCTGGGAATTGAGCCCAGGGCCTTGCACATCCTAGGCAAGTTCTATGCCTCTGAGCTGCATCCTCAGTCATAAGACCACATGTTTAAAATTCATCTATTTATTTTCAAGTTTCCTCTTTAGAACTGTTATTTCAATTTGCATTTCTGTGACCTGGGAAGAGTGCTTATAAAAGTACAAAAATCTATCCGGACAGAACCTTCATCTGGCGATGGATGGAGATAGAGACAGAGACCCACATTGGAGCACTGAACTGAGCTCCCAAGGTCCAGATGAAGAACAGAAGGAGGGAGAACATGAGCAAGGAAGTCAGGACTGAGAGGGGTGCGTCCAACCACTGAGACGGTGGGGCTGATCTAATGGGAGCTCACCAAGGCCAGCTGGACTGGGACTGAATGAGCATGTGATCAGACCAGACTTTCTGAATGTGGCTGACAATGAGGGTTGACTGAGAAGCCAATGATAATGGCACTGGGTTTTTATCCTACTGCATGTGCTGGCTTTTTGGGAGCCTAGCCTGTTTGGATGCACACCTTCCTAGACCTGGGTGGAGGGGGAAGGGCCTTGAACTTCCCACAGGGCAGGGCACCCTGACTTCTCTTAGAAATGGAGAGGGAGGGGTGAGAGAGGGAGGGGGAAGGAAATGAAAGGAGGAGAGGAGGTGGAAAATTTTAATAAATAAATAAATTTAAAAAATGCTAGGCATAGTCACTAAAAAAAACACTGACAAATTTTAAATAATAAACTGGTTATATAAATATTTATGGGCATAAACATAAATGCAATTTTATATATAACAATAAGTTATGATAAAAGTGAATTTTCAATATTGTAATTCTTAAAACTTTCGCTTGATTACAAATGAGGTTATAAATAGTTTGTGTGTTTTTATTGCCCTTTTCTGTCTCTCTTCTTTAGTGGGATGCCTGTTTATATCTTTTAGCAATTTTCTATTATCACTGTATCTTTTTATCCACATTTACAAAAATCTGTATGCTAGGGATACTGATCTTTTCTTTGCCCTATATATTATGTAACCTGTGTGCAGCTTACAGTGACTATTTTGAAATTTCATTGATTTATGCATTTATTTATTAATTTATTTTTGGTGGTGCTTGGTATAGAATCTAGGACTGTACATATGCTAAACATTCACTGATCAGTCTCTCTACCCATCAACCACAAAAATTAATAATTTTTCACTCTCATCAAGGAAACTATTCTTTCCAACAGATGAAGATCATTACAGAAAACAACAACTAATCAAAATGCAGAGTTGTGGAGCGCAGACCCAACTGATACGTCTACAAAACAACTGTTGCACTGAAGGCTTGGGGGGCCATTGTGATAAAGAGGGGGGATTCTAAGAGCCAGAGGAACAGGGAGTTTGTTGTAAGATTGTGTGTCCTAGAAATGTCAGAAGGTACACACACCTATGCGGTCTCACCAACTTGGCCACCTAAGTATGACATGAACTAGGATGACATCAATAGACCTGTTAACATGGAATGGGGCAAGCTTCGGAGCCTCAACCCCAGACAAAGAACGACAGGTTACTAAGGCTGAGCGTGGGAGAAATAGTCTTCCCTAGGGAAGAGCACATCTGGTTTGCCAACACCAAGTGCTCAGCCCTGAAAGCACATGCATACAAGTAGTCTTATCCAGGCTGAGCAGGTTGTGTTTGTGTACTTAGGAATATATATGTATATATTCATTCACTTACACACACTTGTGTGTGTGTATG